GAAGAGATCCAAGAACCCGGCCCGAACGGACATGCCGTCCACGTCAGCTATCCCTTCGGGCTCACTATCAAATATGTCGAGATTTGGGATCCTTTCGGCCCAACCATTACTGACAAAGACATCTCTGCCTTGGTGCTGTCGCTCGAGACAAGGAGCGGAGGTGCTGCAGTGAACAACAAGCGCGGCGAGCAGGGATGGGACCCCCTTGAAGTTTTTGAGGTCGCTGTTCTCGATGCCAGCGAAGAAGACAGCATCGATGAAACCTTCCAGAGCAAGCTGAGCAGCACTGAGATTCGTCGAAAACGAAGCGAACGTGTTCAATCCAGAGCGAAAGCGTGACCCGATAGGCGTGGCCGGGCGGGTTGATGGCGAGACACGTCTTTGAGTGTTTGCCGTGCTGGAACAGGCCCAGGCGATATGTGAGTAGAGTTTTCGTCGGCACGAGAGGTCGACAAGTCGACGAGGCAGGAGGTCATCTAGTGTCATTTTCTGTGCGACGATCTACGACAGCTGCGTGCGCCATAGCTACACGACCGCGCAGGTCCGCATGACGTTACCAGGGCGAGTATAGGCTTGTGAAGCAACACGTCGATCTGACCGGCAGTTCCACGCATGCATCGTCATCGGCGCATGTACGAGCGGGATTGCGGCCATGTCCTCTCCGTCCCGAATTTGTGCCATGACCGAATTCGGGTCGCTTGCGCCTACACAGATGCTTGTATACTATTTACATATTGCACGCCGTACTTCATGTGCTGTAATGGAACTTGCATGCCATCATCTCCTGCCGAGCAGGACAGATGACGCACTGCAACAGCGTACGCACATTGCGAGACATACAGACACCCGTTTCAGCCCACTATGAGGCTCCTAAAGCTCCGTGTCGTCATGAGATGCCCATCGCTTCAATGGCGTTTGCGCCATCCCAAGTACACGGCAGTGGAATCGGCCGGATGACGCATCTGAAGCGCTTGTGACGCCAATCAGCCGACCTCCAGATGCATGCTTCGTTGGCAACGCATCGAGACCATCCATGGATGGAAATTCGTGTAGTGGGCTGTGGGGAGCAGGCCTTCGGGCCTCGAATCAGCGCAGGCGTAACAGCCAGCCCTAGCGAATTTGTGCAGTAGTCCACGGCGGCCATTCGACTCTTCTTCGCGGGAGGAGCCATGCATGTTTACCGTCCTGCTTATGTAAATGCAGACGCTAGTGATCATGTGAGACGTTATGCCCGTTGCAGTTTAATGCATCGCGGTTTGGGCGAGGGCGTACCGGGGTGCACGCTGCAAGTTGCAGGCGGCGTGTCCAGTCCCAGGTCGTCTTCGCAACTCTACGCTTAGCTGACTGCTGGCAGAGAGGTCATGCATTTCTTTCTCCGACCACGCCCCTCTGGCTGTCCTTCGCTTGCTATCCCATAGATCGGTGCCGGCTGTCGGATAACACCACGTTGTCAGTTGACTCGACTGTCCCGCTGTCGCTACGCTCACTACCACCTGCCATTCCCTCCTCCCGATCCGGCCCGAACGCTGCTGCCCTGCATTGAGAGTATATCCGCTGTGCGGTGCGCTCCTAAATCGCGCTGGGAAGCTTCCTGAGCAGAGCTTCTTCGGAGCGGTCGTCATGAATGTGACCACTTAAAATGGGTATCCTCGATCTCGCCGACGAGCTTCTTCGCATCATCCTCGAATATGTTGCGAGCGAACCAGAAAAACCAATAAGTCTGGAGCGCCGCGCATACCTGTCGCAGGAATCTTTCAAGCTGCCCCTCCCACCTGAGCCCGACGATGCCGAGACGATTGCGAGCTTTAGGTAAGTGGTATAGCCGCACGGAATGCATGTGAGACACACACTGACTTCGTATCCTCACCTTTGTAGATTGACTTGCAGAAGATTCAGCAATTTGGTGAGTACGGCTGTACGAAATGCACGTGAGACATGTACTGAGCCTCTGCAGGGTGTCATCCATCAGTTCTCGCGCGTTACGACACGCTTCTCGCAAAAGGGACTCGAAAGATTAGAGAGAATAGCTGGCCAGCCTCACATTGCCGGCCGTGTGAAGAAGTTCAGTTACATGGTGCCATTTTTCTACGGTCAAGGACGAGAGCGCATACAGGAGCTCCTCCATACACGGCCCGAGAGTTTCAGCTTCCCTGATATCGAAAAATTCCAGAAAAAGGTGAACGAGCAAACCAGCCTTCTGAACAGCAGGAAAGATGCACATATCCTGCATTTCGCGCTTCAGCGATTCACTTCACTCCAGCATATCCAGATCCTACGCCTGCAGGACCAGGAAGATGCCGTGTTAATCACGTACATGCGGGGTCACAACGAGTTGAACGGTCTAGTACCGACATGGCCACCGGCATGCTTGCATAGCGCGAAAACAATCGGTCAAGCAAGTAATATCCGTGTACGGATTGATAGGAGACATTTACTAACTTCGACCTCGGTCTTCAGGCCCTCCTTGAGTCCGAATCGCCATGTTCGCGATTCTCATCCCCCATGCTAAGCCCGCAGAGCGTACTAGGTGCCGCTAGCAATCCGCCATCAACCCTGGGAATCCTTGCCGAACGCCTGACCTGTCTAGAGCTACATTTCGATGACAGCACGGACCTAGACGTTCGGATGCGACATCTCACCTCCCTGTCCAAGGCATTGTTTACTGCGGCTAAGAATATTGAAGCCGTGCATATTGGCTTTCCTTCATACCGACCACTCACATTGCGGCTAGAAGAGCTTTTCCACAACGTGAAGTGGGAAAAGCTGCAGGGTACGTTTTGCGTCTCTGCATCATGAGACATACACTAACCTGATATCTCCGTCTTTGCAGCTTTTGGGATCCAAGCCTGGCGTCTCAACGCAGATGAAATTCTGGGGATTGCCCGGCGACACAGAGATACATTACGTGGTTTGCGTCTGCGTGATGTACTCTTGAAAGAGGGAAGCATGTGGAAAGACGTGCTTCCCTGTCTACGCGATGAGCTCACAAGGCTTGACTGGATTTCTCTTAGGCGGATTGGATATGAGAAGCAAGTAATATCCGTGTACAAACGGTTGTGAGACTTTTACTGACTTTGTACATCAATCTTTAGGCACTTCGACGAGCAGTTCGTTATGGGAGCCGAAGTACCAGAAGACGACCCTCTTGGAAGCGACAGTAGCGACGAAAGCGATTACGAATACGAACACGAACATGACGATCAGTCTAACGGGAATGACGCTGATGGCAGTTCAATAGCTGACACGGAATCTGACGCAGAGACCGACGAGCCTGAACAGGGTGGTAAGTTCTGGCTTTACGAAGTGCGTGTGACATATACTGACCTCTACAGGCACCCTTTCCTTCCCGCCTATGCCCGATACCCCAGCCTCGATTACATGGTGCAACTGCAACGGACACATGGATGGCGTCGACGTCTTAGGAGACGACGACGGAATCATGGTCACCAATCAGCAGCGCAAGTTCTGGGAAAAGTGGGTCGTAAGGAAGGTCTGCACCGAGCAGCATGGCCACAAATGAGCGGCCGAATAAACCACCAGAAAAGGAAGCGAAGCTATGCGTAATAAAGCCGCAACAACATCTGTTGGGTTGCGTTGCGTGAGGCGGGCGTAAGAAGAAAAGCAATTATCCATCGAACCGTGTTGCAGCCCTGGAATCATTATATGCAGGCGCGATCACGTTTTGGATCCCGTATGCGGTCTACGGACCGCATATGCATGTGGAGCAGCAGCCACAGCACCATTGACGGGCGCTTATGCGACAACCCAACAACCCGTCACCTGGTCACTTCCACCCCATCGTCGTCAGTCGTGCGAACGCAGACTGCGCCGTATCGTTGCAGGTTTTTCTGGACCCGACTAGGCCGATTTCACGCATTCGCTTCTTTGGAATGGTCGGACGAATCATGCGGCAACAGGACCAGGAACTCCAATCTTTTCGGCTATCTGTCTTGAATCCGTACTTTGACTGTCAAAGCATAGCGCCGGCGCAGCGAACGACACTTTCGCATACCACTTGTTCGAGAGGCATGGTTTAAGTCCAAAGTCTTCTGTTGCACCAAAAGTTGTGCGCTTTGCATTCTGCTTTTCTATCCTTTTTTTTATCAGCTCTTCGACGCCAGTAACGAATGTAACGTAGCGTGGGAAGGAATCTGCTTTTCAATTGATTGAATCATTATAGGTATCTTCACTTTCTGCTTCTTGTCTATCACCTGCTGTCGCGGCGATGCCGTTAAAGAGCGAAAGTGGGGCACAGTCAGAAGATACATACGCTCGCTGGTCCGGCTCCCACGTGCGGGTTTTGACTAAGAAGGAACAACCTGCTCTTCTATTTGTTCACGCCTACACGGTTCCTCCAAGTATGCTGGTAACGTCACGACACGGCGATGCGAGCGGTGAGGTTCAGCTATCGACCGATTTTCACACGTCTTTCTCTTCAACGTCTTGAGCCTAGCACACTCACAGAGATCCGACATTGGCATGCGTTTTCCGACGCTCTACTGACCAGCCAGGATATGATGAAGAACATGCCGGCAAGCCTCACTTCTAACAATGAAGCAAAAGGACCAAAGCCCACACTCAGCTGCAACATCGACCCGAGCTTTACCAACCCACTTCGCCATATCGAATCGGTTCTGAAAACACTCAGCAATAACCTCTTTGACATGGCCGACTATTGTCTTTACGCATGTGTGAGCGTGCTGGCTCACTGTCCTCGAGGATGCATGGAGCCGCCTCTTTCACCTCACCACGCGAAACCGCGCTCATGACACGTCGGACGCGCCGCCATAAGCTTCTCCGACGCGTACACGCGACTTGGGTCTGACGCGTCTCGAGCTGGCTGCCTGGTGGTTGAAAAGTCTTCAAGCCGTACAGTACAGCATCTTCTCTATTCCAACCTCACCCGAATACGACCCTTGCACAACGCATCCAGAAACGCCAGTTCGCTGATTCTTGTTCAATTCATTGCATCAGAAGCAGCAGATACATACTTCATCGCAATGACAAGGCATGTCTGGAGAGCAGCAGATGCCAGTGTAATGCTGTGGGAGCCGGCAGTGGCAGCCACGACGCCTCCGGCACCGCAACAGCCGCAGATGCCGCAGCAACCGCACGGGGTAACCGAAGCTGACATCCAAGGTAAGTAGTTACCAAACATGTTTCTGTTCTTTCTTTATGAAGCAGGCACTGACAACTCCACAGCGTGCTTAACAAGCAGCTACGATGACACCGAGCAAGACTTGATGCTTCCTTCAATCGAGGATGTTTTTGAGCCATGTATCAAGAGCGAGCCTGGAGAAGAGACCAATGCAGTCGGCTCGTCAACAGTCGATTCCACTACTTCGGATTCATCCAAACAGCGTTGTACTTCGTACGATTCTCAGGCTACACTACCATTATCGACGCCTTGCCCGTCGGACGAAGAAAGAGATCTTCCTGTTATACTTCGCAGTCCTGCAAGGACGAGCCACCACCTCAACGTTGGCAATACCGTACCCACGCCACAAGTACGAAGGACTCTGGACTTCGGTATGCCAGCCTTTCGCCATACCAATGACATTGTACAACAAGTCTCTGAGCCTAGCGACTTCACTTCGCTGGCAGCACTGCGAAGGCTGGAACGAGACCCTCCCCACCACTGGCATGAAGATGAACGAGAACTTTTAACCATCCTTTATCGATGGTACGAAGACACAAATGTGGCAACCATTCCGAAGGTCTTCAATGCTATCACCAGCCTCAACCTCAGACTTAATGTCATACGTTACCAGTTCGAAAGCCACCTCATTCTGTATGGCGGTCGTGCGTACCCTGAGTTCGATCGAGTAATGAGAGTCCCCTTCCACAACCCCGAACACAAATACGACGAGATTCACGCGATTATCGAAGATACGGCCTCCGAGTCTGGCATTAACTTGTCACGGCGCATACACGAGGTGAGAATCGAGTCTGGCTTGGCGAGAACTGCAAAGTCCCCCAAGACGAGGAAACACTACAAATCCCTCGTTAGACGTGCGCTAAAGAGGGAGAAGGAGAAAGCTCGCGCCCTTCGCATGCCGGCTCCGGAAAATCTACCACTGCAGGCCCTTCAGCTCGGCGGAATGACATTGGCTGAGCAAGACAACGAAGAAACATGGTCAGACGTTGATGGCTATCATACACCACCCATCACACCTACGCAGCCGACACTCCGGACTCCACCCGGCAGGAATACCATTGGATTTCGCGTTTGGGATGCAAACAGCCGGACAATGTTCGACGACGAGACGGGCTTCGTGAGTCAAGTCTTCTCGATTTGGAGGGGCGAGTTTCTGCCGCCTTTCTCCCCCGACGGACAAGGTCAACAGGCTCTGATGCTCTTGACGAACCTCCATCTGTCCATGAGTGGCGGCGCCTCGGCTTTTGTCTCAGTGTCGACGAGTCTCTTGCAAGCTCTCGTCAAAGCTTCTACGATGTTTGAGCCCAGGATCGCCGTCAGTACGTTGAAGTCCCACATCATGTACCACTTGGTTCCATGCTAATCATGGTGGTTTTCTGTAGTTGCGCTCGATCATCCACTGCTCACAGAACCAAACAAGACTCTGCCAGCAGCAGATGTCATGCGGATGTTGAAAGCGGAAGGCCAGGCATGGTGGGCAAGATATAAGGGCCACGCAGGTGAAGCACCAATACGCCGTACATACTGTTCTTTTGCTAACACTTCTCAGAACGAATGGTATGGGCTTCCGTCCCAGCTGCAGCCGTACTATCACACTTCCCGATTTCCAATCTCGCTGTCTTATCACGCCACAACCAAGCTTGCGATGATATCCTCAACTTGCGGGATATACAATCCGGCCGCAAGACACAGTACGTCTCTTCGCTCTTGCGCGATAGGAACACAATCATCAACATCCGCACGGCACGAGCCATGGCTGTGGTATGCCGGGCCTTCAAGATGCACCGTGTCGGCGTCAGCCTTGCGCACATCCAGGGACTGGTCTCGTCGTTGGTGGATTCGTTCCAGCTGATGTACGTCACAAGCGATACACCTCGCATGTCCATTATGATGGCCAAAGCATTTGCTGTCTCTCTCGTATCGCAGGCTCATCATACTCACGATGTAGAGGCGGCTTTCCAGGAAGGCGTTCTGCAAGGCACTGTTAGTATTATCCGTATACAAACTATTGTGAGACATTTACTAACATGATACATCGACTTTTAGGCTACCATCGAGTTCTACACGCGCCGTCGACCCGTGGTACCTCCACGACGGAGCAGCTGAGGAAATCTCAGCAACCTTCTCGCGCTATCAAGACTACCAATGAACAGCTTGTCTCAAATACTTCAGGCCTATGGCGATTACAAGAGTATGGGCAAGTACGAGGAATAGCTCTCAGCATGATTTATCGAGAACGTTCGGCGAAGTGCTAATGTCATAAGGTATCCGAGCTTTGATAAAGATGTCATAGATCGTATATGTATTTGGTATGTGTAGAATGGTTGATAGCATGCTACAGAATGCAGAAACATACGACTAAATAGATGCTTACCAGAACTTCGCTCAAATGCTTACTCGCTATCAAGCCTCCTTTCCCTCGCCTCAGACCCAGAACCTCCAGAAGCCTCATCATCCCCTTCACTTTCAACCCCATTCGTTTCCACACCATTCATCTCCACACCGTCCGTCTGCCCCGCCTGCACCGCACGATCCCTCGCCGCAACATGCCTCATCATCTCCTCCTCCATAGTCCCCCTCTGTCGACGAATCTCCCGCCACATTTCCTCCACTTCCGCGATCTCCGCGTCCATCATGCCTTCACTGCCCCCTTCGCTACTCCCCGCGCTTTCCTCTTCCACACTTCCCCTCTCCACTAGGAAATTCTCTCTAGCGGCTCTCCTCATGTCCCTCGCATCGCGACGCCGCCTAAGCGTTGCAGTAGGGGTTTCGTAAGCACCGTTACGGTGGAGCTCTACGCTCTCTGATAGCTCTCCGTTCGTAGGCGGGTTGGAAGTGGGAACAGTGTCGCCGTTTGTACTTCCGACGGCGGAGTTGACAAGCGTAGTTCCGCTTAAGGATGCGCTCCGAGAAGAGCGTGTTGAAGACTCCGATGAATTTCTCGTGTCATTTCTGAGATAGATACTAGGGGGGATGATTTGGGTCGCTGTTGCGTACCCGTTCGTCCTAGCCTCCGTTGCTTGATGCGGACGGAGAGGTATTTCCTGGTCTATTCCACCTTCAGCGCGGATTGCACGGAGGCGTAGGATAGGGCCGTCGAGGGTGTACGATACGGAGCCCCAGTCTCCAATCGCTTCGTTCAGTTCGGGGGTGGAGAGGCGTGGGCGCGGACGGATGTCTTCTGGATCTGCGGTAACTCGCTCTGGGGTTGGGGGTTGAATGTAGGCGTTGGAGGTGTGGGATCGGCCATTTGTGAGTGGCGCGCCGTTGTGACTGGTGTTGTTTGGCGTTACGATTCCGGCGTTGATGTGGAAGGTGTTTGTAGTCCCGTTTCTGTTGTCGTTGGTGCTTCTTCCGCTTCCGCGACTATCACCATTTTGATACTCGCTATCAGGCTCACGAATCCATACATCTTCACTCAGATCTTCAACGCCTTCGTGATCGACAAACCCGTTTACACCCTCAAGGTGAACAGCCGCCGTAGTCAACAACGTACGACGGTGATTGTTCGGGTCAGTGTAACCCAGACCCATCGCTATGGTGTATCTAACTATGATATCCCTGATGACCCTGGAGCCGATGGAAGGTCTCAAACCATACAGAACGACGAGGAGTGGCCGGATAATTCCTCGTGCGTCGGCATAGTCTTCTCCATTAGAGTTGTCAGTCGTGGGTTCGTAGATGTAGCCATAGAAACGATTGTCATTGGAAGGAAGGTGGTTGTTTACATGACCGTTTGGGAGTGAAGGGTACTGGATGTTGCCATTGGTAGAGGGAGTATGAGTATAGCCGTTAGTGTAGCCGTTGGGCTGATGAGCATGTCTTTCTCCACTGGGCATGTTGGTCGTTAAACGAGTCGGCTCGGTTTCATACCAACCGTCACGGGGCGCGGCATGTCCATTCGTCGTTACGTCACGCCTCGAAGCATTATCCAAGAACGATCTTTCGTATTCCTCGATGATAGTGCGCATGGTTCTCAGTCCTAGTTGTGGCGTTATATCAGTCAGAACATTCGTTAGAATAGCCCGGCGCCACAAGCCTCCAGGATCATTTCGAATGACTATCCTTGTGGGACGGGGGCCGCGTGGGGAGGGGTAGAGATTATTCAATCTCTGACGTATGGGGGAGGATGTGATGGTAAAGATGTCGTAGTTGGTGGAATCAAGACGAGGTATTCGAAGATGTCCATGCGTTGTGGGAGTAGGGCTGTCGCCATTCGTCGGGAGCGTGGGCGTGTCTTCCTCGACAAGCATTCTAGCGCGAGTCTCTACGTTTCCACCGGCGCGTACGGCTTGTGTAAGTATGCGCGGTTCATCTCTCGATGACGTTGAATCTTCTTCAGGGCTGGGTGGTAAAGCACTGGCCGCAGCTGCTTCTAGTGCTTCCTCATCGTCCAGTATAGTGACTTCTCCGCCCCGTATGCCGTACACGTTTGAAACATTTTGCGGCCCATCGAGAATACCGTCATTGGGATGACCACTGGAGCAACGAGTCCTGTTTATCATCGACCTCTGTATCATACGGCAAGCCAGCTCTCTGGCCCGCTGCTCTTCCAGAAACTCGTCGACATCGAACGGCTTTCGTACAGGTGTTTCCCCCTCTTGGCGCTTCTGCACTTCTCCGTCTCCATCATCATCCATTTCGGCTTCATCGCCAGCCTCATCTGCTAGCTCTTCGTATCCTTGCTGTCGCCTTCCCATATCTCTTACTTCGTTTTCCAGCCTCCTCGTTCTCTGCCTTTCTCGATCAACCATCCTTCTCAAAGCTCTGACTTCTTCAACGAGCGATGGTACAATATCCTCAAGATCTTCGAGGTTGTCCACTCGATCTTGAGTCTCCGGATGTGCTTCAGGGGCCCGGAAGTATGTCGCTAAAGAGAAGAGAAAGGAAGATATGGCTAGGGCGGGAAAGGTGGCCGTTAGGAGGATGATGAAATTGCTACTGTTCATTCTGTGTTCGTACAGTTATTGTTTCTCGTTTGTGGAGAAGGGATTTATGGATAGTAGGAGCGTGGGATATGGCTTTTGAGGGCGGAAGCCTCCGATGAAGTGTCGAGTTGCGATACATGTTCGACATGCTGGACGCTTGAAGTTGTGGACCCGTCAATCAAGTCGGTCACTGTGGGTGTGTCATTCTGCGCGCTGGTCACAAGACATCTTCGGCCTGATGGGCCTGTGAAGGAGTCAATCAATGAATGCAGCTTGTAACGGTTACAGTATTCTTCACCCGCACTCGTGATAGCGTTGAGTCACACAATAAATGATACAAGCTACCTCTCCTCCACACGACATCGTAAAAATTTCCTCATGATCAAGTCTTCCGTATGCCGTGGCTATTCGCCTTGTCGACAACCACGACATCACACACACAAATGCAAGTTCGGCTTTGCACAACTAAGCCCGTAATGTTTGATGAATGTACAGATTGGTATTATATTACTTGTGAAGTGTATGTATGTACAAAGAAACCCCGGTCATCGTTTCATTCGATGTTTAACCAGAGGCAGCAATGACCAAGGTGTACTGGGCAACCTGCGAGCAGACGAAGTCGTTAGGACCGTTGCCACCGGCGTGGCAGTAGGTGGGAACAACGCCCTGACCCCAGAAGCCGACACTGTTCGCATATGTTAGTCTATCGTCCAAAATCTGTGTCACTTCATGTACGTACGCAGTGCCAAGCTCGTGGTAGAGAGTGATGGGGTAGTCGCCGTTGATGTCCTTGGTCATGGCGAAACGGTACTTGCTGTCGCCGCAGTTGACAATAGGAGCGGGGAGAGTAGGGTAGGGTCCGCCAACGCAGGAGAGGTCGGTGGCGTTGCGGCCGTCAATCTTGAATGAGACGGACTGGAGGGTGCCGTTGTTCTTGCGGATGGTGTAGTCCTTGAAGTTGACGTTCTCGTAGCTGTTGACGTCTGGTGGGCCCTGGCAGTGAGCCGGGTTAGGGCAGTCGGGAGTCTGGGCAGCGGGTGCGGCCATGGCGGCGGCACCGAAGAGAGCGGCGAGGGTGAAGAACTGCATTTTGACTGATTTGAGAGGTTTGGTGGTGTTGATAGACGAGGTGTTTAGAAATTGACTGCTTGGATGATGGATACAAGATATGGTGGCTGGAGCCGTACTTATATCTCCGCGAAGATCTTCATTACCATCTTAACGTCACTTAGTCGAGCGCTCGACCAACAACCAACAACGCTCATGGATTCGGTCATACCTCCTCGTATTTCTCACCGTGGTGGGTTGCATTCGGGCAATGATGTTGCCCCCCGGACGGGCGTGCACCGGCGTGGGCACAAATCTCCGAGCCTAACGTGTGGACCCCTTGACCGCTAACAGCTTCTGTGATGTAAGTGGCATTGATCATCGAACAACAAGGCAGGTACCTCGTATACTGCAGTTGCGCATGCTGTGATGGATATTGCGGCTTGATGCATTGTTCTCGTTTTCGCATGTCGGCACGTTGCCCAGGTGAGCTCTGCATTGACTGAGACGTCTGTGATCGTGAATGCGTTCACCGCAACTGCTCCTGTAAAGAGCCAGCACATTGACGTGGAATTCACCTTGGCATTAGTGATGCAGGAACCACCTGCGAGCGGTGACATTTTTGGGTCCGCGAAGCTGAGCCTCAACTTTGACATGCAGGGTGCCAGAGCCGCACGCCACACCCGCTGACGCCACAAACAGCGTGGCCTGCGAGGCTGGCAGTTGACGTAACGTGGGCTTCGCTGTTCAATCGAGCGCCACATTACATCAGGTTCTGTTCGCAATTGCGAACCCGGTCGGCATGACCGTCGTGGTGAGTGCGCAAGCCCAGTTCCAAATATAGTGGCACCTGCGTTGCACCTAGCGACGGTATGCATGATGGGAAAAACACCTCAACCTCGTGTGGTGTGTTTCGTGTTAGGAGGCGTTTGTGGAGCGCATGTTTGTTGAGACTTTCGATAGTGCGACAAGTTTGCGGGCCCCTAATCTAAAAATGGCATGATGTCATTGGGCACGCTGTGCAAGACTCGAAAGTTCGATGTCAATATCTATGGACAACACACTGAACGTGGAAACATACGCGTGGAATGCTTTTTCTCGTGCTGGCAGCTCTCAAGATAGCACATCCGTCAAGGTAACGAGGAACGGTTCGTGGTCGCTCTGAACACGCCAGAATAAGCGTCTCGGCAGTAGGAAACCGCGTTTTGCTGAGACGCGACCTAGCACTGTAGGTTGTTATCGCTACCAAACAACTTGCACAGCTACTGCGCAGTCGAAAGGACGCTCATCGGGGCTATCAACGCGAACACTGTTGTATCACCTGACAATATTGTGGGGAGCAGGTTCGAGAAGTCGCACCGAATCAACAACTGATGATCGCAATCTTGTGTACGATAACCATCCCAACCTTGCAAGTATCAGCGACCTTCCTCGACAGTTGTACGGGATACTTGCTCTCAGAAGGCGGTGCACTTCTCCGCACAAGTCGTGTCCAGTCGCATATCATTCAGGCAAATTCCGTGTTGATTGCAGGCATAAGCGATGTTGTGGAACAGGCAGGGTAAAGGAGGATGGTTAGGTCGACTCTGCTATTTTGCAAGCGCAGCCCGTCTCATAACGATGATTGCATGTTCAGAGAATGGAGACAAAGACGCTATGTGGAAGTGGCAAGAGCGAAGAGGCGTATATGTAGAAGATCGTTGCATCGTTTGGTTATGGTATGACTACTGTTCTGCTAGAATGAGAGAAGCACACCAAACAAATGAGAGGGTATATAACATGCTTGTTGCGACCTTTTTGAACTCCGGAACACCATGCATGAAGCTCGCTAACAGCAAAGGAAGTAAAGCACAGAAGATGAGAAGAGCGTGAAAGTTGCGCTGCGTTTAGTGTCGCCAAAGAGTTGACAATCGGCGCTCTGTCTTGACGCCGCGGTCTTCCTCGTTGCGGGGTCTGAGTCGCGAGAAGGGCGCTTTGAAGGCGGTCGGAATCTTGACCATGGATGGCGAAGTAGGACCTGTCGGTGATCCAGGATTGGATCGTGCTTTTTGTTGTGTGAGAGTAGCTTTGTATTGCTCCCAGTAGCCGGTGGGTGTCGCGCTCACAGGCGTGGAGAACATTGAATCTTTCGCCGGCGATGTGGCATTGTCCAAGACTGACGAGGTAGATTTGGATCTGTTTCGATACGGAAGATTGGGTCTCTTATCGGCAATGAGAGCGCGTGCCTCTTCGGCAGTGAAAGTGGGTCGTGTGTCGGGAAACAGATTCATACGGGGTCGAGTGGGCGACGGCGGAGTGGAGACAGCCATACCAATGGTTGAGTCGACTTGGGAGTTCTCATGGACATCATGAGTTACTTCTGACTCGTTCTTCTCGAAACCAAACTCAAACTCGGCTTTAGGGGACTGTTGCCGTAGGAGAGGATGTATATGGCTTTGTGCTGTGAGTGACATAGTGCCAGGTGACTCAAAGGAGACAAGTCCACCCAGAAGCCCACTCTCTTCTGCGGCGCTAACCTTACGAGTAGGGCTATCCGCAGATGCGCTGGACTTAGATGAAACCACACTCGCGCCTTCGCTCCATAGGGAGCTTGCTGTAGAGCTAGTACTGTCTGAACGGCTAGGAGGCTCCCCAGTGCGCGCCAGGTACAGTGGATATGTGGCACGCTCGAGTTGAACAGAATCAAGTAGGGGTGTTCGGGGACGTGCGGCCGTGCTTGCTGTAGAACCCTGCCTACTACGAGTGACTGAGGGTGTTCGTGATCGGAACCAGGAGGTATCCAGTCCAGCTCCGCTCTCTGCAGTGATTGCCGTGGAATGCTCGGAATAAACAGAAGAGGTTTGGCGAGCGTGATCTTGCGAAGATGGGACAGAGTCTTTCGACTTATCGCTAGTTTCCTGAACAACACCAGCAGGCTTCTGTGTAGTTTTCATTGTGAGGCTATTGCTCCGCGAGCCTCGAGTAGAAAGTGACCGTCGCGCTAGAGAACGCACAGAGGACGAACGAGGTAGTTGGGATATCCTAAGAGGCGCAACCTCCATGGATCCACGTCGACTCATGTTTTGCGGCGTAAAGTAATCTTCCCTTTGGCAGTCTGGCTCTATAGAATAGAGACTGCTTTGAGAGTCATCAGGACCTTCGTCGATGGCCACTGGCGTCTTAGCTGGAGGTGACGCCAAAGGAGTCGTAGCAACGCTATTGGTAGTCGAGGTGGGCTCCGCAACGTAGCACAAAGCGTACTCCGGGCTTTCAGTATCGCGAACTTCTTTTGGCGCCCTCAGAGCGGACACAAGATACTGGAGAGTGCCATAGATCAAGAGCCACCTGACTTTACGCGCATCTGTTGCTGATACCTTGCCCTGGCGTTGACTGGGGCTGGTAGCATGCGCCTTCTCAAAATGGATATATGCCTGCACGATGTTGGACTCCATCGCACTGGGCTCTAAAACGTTCGTTGCCGCTGCTAGAGCACCATGCATGGTATCCTGTACCTGCGTCTTGTTATACTGCGAGGCCAGAACCAGCTGTCTCAAGGCCTTTTGAGAGTTCGTTTTCTGGGAATTTGTTCTCTTCAGTGGCGAAGTGTATGTCGGTAGGAGAGGTAACGGGTGCGGCTGAGACTTGAAGCCATGTCGTTGATCGAACGTTGCAATATTCTGCAAGACACAGATGCCACCGCTAGCTGGTCTTTGGGAGGAGATATCGGCAGTCGAGTCGGTGTCTACGAGGTAGTCGTACAGGTTCTGGAAGTCATAGTACATAGACTTGTACAGAGCTTTCGGAAAAGCGGCACCCCGTGGTGGTGGCCAATAGCCAAATTTGTCCACGTAGAAGGTATGCAAGAAGCGGCGGAACCGATCGAGATGGCTCCTGGCACCGTCTGTCAATCCGAGGTGAGTCGGCGAGAGGTCTTCCTGTAGAAACCTGCTTAGTGCGGTCGATACGCGCCCGAGATGGCCGTCAACTTCGAGATGTGCGCGGGTGATCAATGCTTTGGTAAGCTTCGAAGTCAGCTACAACATGTTAGTACAGCGGCCTGAAGCAGTTGACGAGTTTCATACAACGTATTCCGGACTGAGAACTAAGCTGTCGCTCATACCGACGCAATGGGCAAATGCATCGACCCAGATGTCTCTCAGTTTGAAATGCTCTGCGTAGTAGAGGCTTGCAAGAGCATAGTCCGTGCACTCCACCAGATCCCGGTACCCTTGGTTCTCAGCGTAGTCTAGGAAGTCTTGGTGGTTGTTCGGATGACTTGGACGGAAGTGGTGTAAACGTTCCTGGACGTCTACGAATGCTTGGCCCATATGATCGCCTACCAGTGGTTTACCCAGAAGGAAGGCAAAGAAGTTGCGAGTCGCAATGTGCCGTCTAAATGAATTCTCTCGTGATAATTCCTCCGGAACCGGGATGAAGAGCTCGACGATGCTGTGTTCCCCATTGGCGTTGGTAAGGGAGCTGGGCATTCGCCTCAGGTGCTGGAAAGCGGATCCCGGAGCAGACGCGATCTGCGCATCACATAGCTGGAGCATCGCCTCACACTTCTTCTGTCGTAGGAGTCTGAACGGAATGCAGAAGGACGGGCCACGACGCGAAACTCCTTTCGCGTGTAGATGTACGAGGCAATCTCCTTCTTCATACCACAACTCTGGATCCTTCCGGCTTATTAGCTTAGCTTCCACATGAAACCTTCGTACATACCCTGCGTAGTCCATGATCCCAATCGCTCACAGTACGGGTCAAGCCTGACCAGCGTTGTACTTTGGTTGGATGCATCGGCTTTGAAGGTGTAACAAGGCAGCTGGCGGACCTTGGTCGCGTTTCGGTAGCCCTGAGAGGTCCCTTGCCGGTGCTATCTTCTACTAATGTAGAGGCAACGCGATCGCTAACCGCGAGGCTATGACGTGCGGCTGTAGGTGGGCTGGTATGGTGAGGTAGTGTAGATCCACTTGTCGATGCCGCGGAGACTACCTGATTCAAGGTCCTAGGGTCATCGAGACAAAGGGTACGAGAAAGGGACGATGTGCGGGCGGGGATTAGATATCCATGAGGCTCTTCCCCAATGCTAGCCTGACAAGACGGGATCGCTTCCGAAGCCATGCTGATCTAAATAGGAGTGTGCATGTGTAGTACCACAGACTGAGTTGCTCAACGAGCGGCGGCAGGGATGCCTAGTCTGCCGTGATGGAGTCGAAACTAAGCAGAAGTCTGTCGCAGCCGGGCGTGGGACAAAGCAACTATTGTATGTCGACAAACCCTTGTCGCGCCCTCAGCTGTCGTGACGGCTGGGACGCGTCGCCGTCCGGCTCATGATGGCGTCTTTTGGTTGGCGAGGCTGCGTCTTGCGAGCCCGATTGAGCGTCTTGATGGGGCGATCTTGCCCAGATGGGGGATCGACCGCTCGTGGCTTGCGCGGGCTGCTTTCCTAGCGTCAGATATCTAGCTGTCAAGCATTTGTCTTTCGATCCAGATCATGTAGTCACTGCAGTCGTCGTGGTAAGTTGTGTTCGAGACCGACGAATTTGCATTCACCGCGCTCAGCCTCAGGATGCCAATGCACGGAGCTGAGACGTGTTCAGCCCAGATCTCACAAGCCTCAGTACAGTAGAGCATATGCGGGGAATTAGACGTTTCTGGGGATCTGAGAAGAGTTCTCGGATGGCACGGTGCCGGGCGGTACTGGGCAATTTGACGATCTCGCCAACTGAGGGGTGGCGTTCTTGTGGCATCGCAAGGAAACCTCACTTATCGCCGACTCCAGCGTCGGAGCGATCGGTCAACATGGATGCGTAATGTCGGACTTCGCGGGGATCAGATATCGCGTTCGACACGTACAGCAGAGTCGTTCATGCTATCATGCGAAGCGCGACGAATGACACGTCGCGTCGAGAGGTTGGGTGGGGAAGTCGTGGCGTACGCCATGATCGTCGCCCAAGGGTGCTCGGCTCTCCTCACTGCGCTTGCAGCTGGCATCCTTCGTCCACGCATCACAACTCAATTCGCTGCCATAGGCCTCCGATCGCACCAGCCGCCTGCCCATCGACGTCCCGCGTTATCTCTGTTGACATCGTCTTGAAGTTGCTAGAGTAGCTCGATGACGATGGCCGCTGGCCTGTCCCCGCTTAACCACATTTCTTTTTTGGTCACGGAAACTCTATCAAGTACAGCAAACACATGCTGAATTCACACCACAGGTTTTGTAATCATATCTCGTATGCTGCTGATCATGAAACACAGGATCTTGAGCACGGCATCAGCATCTGCGTTGGGGGCTTGCTCCTCTTGACCTACCACGCTGACGGTCGTGCCACCGCCATGTATGAGAATTTAGTCCTAAGGCTATGACCGCTGCAAGTACGCATTGCTTGACGCCTTCAAAACGTCCCGAGCGCACGGCATGCGGCAACAACACCCAGGCCACCCGAGACAGTCTTCCCGCCATGCAGTCTCGTCCAAGGCATACTACCACACGAATCTGCTCGGACATTTTCTCGAGGTCCACAAGTCTTGGGCCAGCAGATTACATTGTGCAGCATTGCTGTAGCTAGGGAAAATGTTTGCTTTGATACGCAGGACTCATGCATTACAAATAAGCACTTTGCATTGCATATGCTACCGCGGCCACCAGCTAATTCCCCGGCTCTAAGTTATGGGTGTACGACCAGACGATCGATGACCATGCGACCAGATGGAGTATGCAGGTGACCCTTGACTGCATATGTACAATCGCAACCGCGCGTCCTTTTCCCCCATCAGTGAGCATCCCGCTTCTGCGGACACGATGCAATCTTCATGAAGCACACCGCATTATGCATTACTGCTGCAGATGGAGCGCATCATATCTTTGAACGCTTTGTTGACAGGAATCCGGAGCTATCATCTTAATGTGAACAGTATTTGGTCGTTTGCTTCGTTAGACTGTTTCACTCATCTCTAGGCCTGGATGTTGTGGTAACAAGCAGCTTCTTCGACTTTCGCAGCACCATGGAGGTATCTGTGGTGCCTCACTTTGCAACGAGTAGGCTGCTCTGAGTCAGTAAAGCTTGTTATCCTCAACGTCTTGCCCAGTTGCTGTGTCAGGCGTCACACTCGGAGCTGCGGGCTCGCACTTCTCACTGCCAGCTTCCATCTCGACAGCCTCCTCTCTGAATTTTCTTCGATCACTTCGTTTAAGTGCAACGTCTTTCTTAGTATTTCCATTTCAACATTTTGTTTGCTCTTTACAATGGTTTCACCCTCACTCGTCCTTTCTAGGGCGGTTGCCTTGCGCTTTCCTCCATACAACTCAAACAGGAAACCACGCTAGTAAAGTGAGCGCGCTTGTCCAATCATCGCAGAGCGCAAATCACGCTCACGACTCTAATCTCCCCAAGCAGTCGACACATCACCTGTATCAATAAATCAGACTTTGACAATCACTATTCCACATCAGCCTCAGCTCGACTACTCTCGCGATTCTCTCCCAGTCGTTCGAACTATCACCAACATGAGTAGCACCGGCAGCATTAGCAGCGAGGCGAGCATAGCGCGGAGTGCCGACAAGGACGACACAAGCGACAGCTCGTTGCACCTTCCCGACACAGAACCGACAGATGACAAGGAGCAAGTGGAAGGCGATGAATCCATAGTCGACGGGGCTGGTCGCAAGGAGGATGCATCTGACAAGGAGCAAGAAACAAGCGCTACGATCGATGATGCGATCGCATCCCACAACGAGAGGATCGGCCTGGATGAGGTGAGCCTGGAGGGTTCTGCTTCGTCAGTTACAGTAACTATCCATTGTTCTGCATGCGTGGTATCTGACTAACCCTGTATTAGCCTCAGCAATTCTGTCTGGTTGCGGATAGCATCCTCGGCTCTATGAGTGGAGTGGAAACGGCCATGCTTCAGCTTCATGAATACGTCAAGACCGAGAACCAAGACCGCAAGCCGATCCACCAGTGGGCCAGATTCGAAGGCTATCGCAGCATTGATCGTGCGGTTGCCGATCTCGACGAAGCAGGCGCCAAGTTCGAGGATGTTCATCTTCCTGCTAGCTTCGTCAAGACTTATCTCAGTCGGGCTACCGAGATGTCACTTACCGTCAGTAAGGCCGCTGTATTCTGTATGGGCGCGATGAACGAACAATTCACCCGCTACATTGAGGAGACCAACGTATCGATTGACGCCGAGGCTAAGATTACGGAAGAGCTCAGGAAGCTTCTCAAGCATGGATCCAAGGCAACATATAGCGTGTATGCGGCTCTCGATCTACTCCGTAACAAGCTGCACATCGACGAGTCCAGTCATAGCCGCGATATTCCTATCATCGAAAAGCTGATTGCAGAGAGCGAGGCCCGCTTAAGCGCCTCACGCGAGAGCTCCTGGTGGACTGTTGCCAAAGTAGTGTTCGGAGCAGCCACAAGTGCCGTGGTTGCCCTCGCAGCCGCACACACGTACGGCACCAATGGCTTTAGTCTCGCACTCCCGGCCGACTTCAACGGCACGCACTATCAGGTCCTTTCACTCGTCCAGCGTGCGCAAGCTCTGACCAACCTCACCGGCGAGCTCTACTCCATCAAAATTGACGATCTAGCTCAGCATTACAAGGAGCTTGAACTCGCCTCTGAGTCTCACGGTCTCCGAATCGATAACGTGGTTGAAGCACTGGGCGTCCCCAACGAGGAGGGTACCTACTTTTCATCAACGCCGAAACCAGGAATGGGTTGCACGACAAGGAACGATCATTCCTGCGTTCCAGAGATCATGGCGGACGCTAACCGCCAGACCGAGAAACTGCGCAGCGAGCTGGAGCACATGCGCAAAAACATGCACCGTATGGACATTCGCCTCATGAAGCGCCTCGACAAGGTCGACAAGCGTGGTCTGTAGTAAGCATGAGCAATGCGAGCTCGAGCCACGGTAGTGGACCCTGGTGTTGCTACTGTAAGCCACGACTCCAAAGATAGTGCACAGGGGCACACCGTCTTTTTGCTTCTTTACATGCGCGCCAATACGGTACAGGGGTGGATCTGAGCGCTCGCATCCGTTGTCATTACATGGCACTCCTGCATATAGCTGGAACATGTACGGTGAAATGGGCTGTCTTGCGAACTTCGGTCTACTGTGTAGCAAATGAAACCCCCGTCAAACTCATTTACAGTCTTCACAAATAGTGCCATCTGGATTTCTCTTGACCTCTACACTCTCGCTCGTTTGACCCTGCTCTTGATTCACCTCTGTCTCTTGCTTCGTGTCTTCTGCCTTGTCTTCCTTCTTCTTTCCATGCTTGTCGGAATGTCCCAAGTCTCGTGATGGATCGATGTGATCTCGCACCAATTGCTTCAATACTTTCGTTTCTGCGACACGTCAGCCACTCTCTACCACTAACAAGCTTGCGCTGAGATCACGAACCGGGAAATCCCCCCTCAGTCTTCCTATCCCAAAGAAGCACTTTCTTGGCTTCAACATTCTGACCTTCTTCCGTTGGCGGCATATATGTCTTGGCAGGTCAGTGGTCATTACGACAGACCTCATTTCCTACATACCAACTCAACAGTAAACAGACCTCCCGTCGCAGGAATCAACGCGATCTCGCCGATCTGCAACCCAAATGTCGACAAAAGCTCTTGCCCAAACTGGTCGCGCATTAGCGAATGTTTCGCTAGCGGATATCACGGGAGAAGATACATAGGCAGCCCGCAACATCCACCGACATTGCGTGCAATAAGTAATC